GGTTTTGTGAGCTGAAATTTTTACCATAGATACAACTCGTCGAACTCTACAAGATATGATATGATTCGATTAATTTGAAGACACTTGTGTTTTTTGTGGTAGAAACTCCATGGAATAGGCCTGATACGATATTCACCGAAAAATCAAATTAAGGAGTTTCGATCTGAAATTTTGCCCGCATGTAGGTCTTGTGGTCCGTATATTAGCCTGAAAGTTTCAGCGAAAACGAATGCATTGTTCCCGAAATATTAAGTTTTCAAGAAAAGTCGATTCTTTTGGTATGTATGCAACATGGTACTGTTTTCTTGAGATTTTAATATCTCGAGAATGGCGCTTTCGTTTTGGCTGAAACTTTCAGGCTAATATACGAACCACAAGACCTACATGCGGGCAAAATTTCAGGTCGAAACTCCTTAATTTGATTTTTCGGTGAATATCGTATCATAGATGATAAACCCAGTAAAATGACCATAACTCGAGAAGGAAGGCGCATGGGCCCTTGTCCTTTTGGACTTTTTCTAGTCTCATTCTACTCTACTTATCGGCAAAATATCAGTTTAAAAGCTTTGAATCACTTCTGGGGGTTCCCTCGTAAGTTTCCCGGTCAATAAGTCAATTTTTACATTTGTCGTTCAAATTGCCTCAGTTCGACAACATGTACTAGAGATTCAGTGGCAGTTGTCTCTGTATAGTTCGAATTATTTCAGTCATACAATAGAAACAATTTCACATCCTCAATCTTGCCTCATTCCCAGAAGCATACATGCTCCCGAAGAAAGAATGAGATCTCAAAATTTTAGGTACAAGTGATTCGCTTTTATCTACCATTACAAGTGAATGGCTGCCGCACAGCTCATGGATCAAAAGCCAACAATAGCTAGTAAGTTCATGAATAAAAAGAGAAACCCTATGGGCAACCGGAGTTCAGCATTTGGTTACGATCCTGACCAATAAAATTTCCAGTTTTCTTATGATAACTTTCGATTAAACAAGCGGAAATATGTCGACTACATTATTTTGTTGAGCAATCTATGCTCTTTAAAATGCTATCTTAAAATTTCTGGAAACAATTAGTCTCAATGGAGAAACATGTTGCACATTGATCGTAACCAGAAGATTTCGTGATTCACCGTAAGCAATACTGCTCGCGACTAATTTACAATATCTTTCCTTATTAAGACTAATTGTTTTCTAACATGTAATATAGCTTTTTAAAGAGTATACATTGCTCAGCCGAGTATTAAGATAGACATATTTTCTCTGGCTTAATAGAAATTTGTCATTTGAAAAGTGAAAATTTCATTCGTCGCGGTGGTAATCAAATGCGGGCCTATATTGGTGATCGTTTCTTACAGGTCCTATTACTTGCTCCTCTACTTCGAAAAGACGGAATATCCAACAAAATTTTCGTCTTATCTGGCTGGACAGCAACATCGGTGTATACACACAAGACGTTCAAAATTCATTGGATCAACTATACCACATTGTCGATTGCAACCTAATCATTCCATGTACCGACGCTGATGAGTGTGTTCAATTGCTCGAAAAATTTGAACAACAACATGTCTTCATGATTGTTTCCGGTAATCTAGGACAAAGTATAATGCACCGCATTCATGATATGCAACAGCTCATTTCAGTCTTTGTCTTCTGTGGCAACAAATCCTATCATGAACAATGGACAAGAGACTTTAAAAAAGTGAAGGGTGTTGAAACTGATATAATGCCGATCTGTAAAAAGCTACTGTCGATCATACTCGAATACTATCAAAACTGGTTACCAATAAGCGTTCTCTTGCCGAATTTGAAACCAAGCCTGAATTTGAACGAAGTGGACATTTCATTTATTTGTACCCAACTCTTCAAAGAAAATATTTTGCAAATTGACGAGGATGAGCCAAAGGCTATTAAAACCTTTACCAATTATTGTCATGACCTGGATATCAAGGAATCTGATATAAAAGAATTTGAAAAAAACTATCTTCGTTCCGAAGCCATATCGTGGTACAAATCTGATAGTTTCATCCCCCGTTTACTTAACTGGGCAATGCACATCAATAACGTAGACGCAATCCTCAAGATGGGCTTCTTTATTAGAGCCCTCCATCGTAATATTCAAGAACTACAGACGAAAAAACTGAATCACGGCATGGCACGTTTCAGTGTCTACCAATATCAGGAGTTGTCCAAAGACGATTTTGAAATACTGAAGAAAGCGGAAGGCGGGCTAATGTCATTCAACAGCTTTTTATGCGCCAGTCAAAATCGAAAGGCATACAAAAAGGCTACTTCGAGTGCCACATTGGTGACTACTCTCTTCTCCATGGTAATCGATCCAGCGATTTCTTCTAATCCATTTGTCACTCTGGACAAGAAAGTCGTCCACTCATCCGCAATGGATACTCTCTTTTCGATTCACACCATCTTTGAAATCAAAAAAGTCGAAAAAATCAAAGACAACCCCGTAGTATGGGAAGTGAAACTCAATTTCACAAGTGACGACGACAAACAGTTAGCTACTCTTAACACACTAATGCGAGCAGAGATATGGGGACTCACAGGTTGGAATCGACTAAGTGAATTGCTTGTTAAATTTCGCGCATTCAACAAGGCCGAAGAGTTATGCCAGGCGTTGTGCTCTCAAGAATCCGATAACCATAAGAAAGTAGCTCTTTATCAGCAACTTGGACGAATTCATTGTCAAAATGACGAATATCTCAAGGCGATTCAATTCTACCAGAAAGCTATTGAAACCTGTGAAAATACTCTCCCTATAAACCAAGTCAGTTTGGCTGAGTCCTACAAGGGCATTGGTTTAGTGTACTTCAGAAGAAGCGAGCGATCAAAAGCACCTGAAGACTACGGCAAAGCACTTGAAAACTACAAAAGAGCATTTGAAAAGTTTCAAGAAACTCACTCTTCGAATTGTCTAGATTTGGCTGATTGCCTCAACAGAATTGGTGATGTGTATCACAAGATACCCGACTATGACAACGCACAAGAGTCATACAATCAAGCAAATCGAATTCTCCTGCAAGCTCTTCCTCCCGATCATCCCGCGTTGGCTAACTCATATAACAGAATCGCTATGGTGCATTATGGCATGAACAAGTTTGAGGATGCACTTTTGTACTACGTAAAAGCACTTCAAATATTCAAAAAAACCCAACCTCCAAAGTATCGCGCGTTGGCTGATTGCTACAGTAACATTGGCAGCGTTCATGACCGTATGGGTCAGAAGTCAGATGCGAAATCGAACTTTTCAAAAGCTGATGAAATACGAAAACAAATCCCTGCATTTAATTGATCGTCTTCTTCGAATTTACGAAAGCAGCTGCGAACGTGTAAAAGAACAGTAAATTATTTGTTGTCAAGGTCATCTATCTTGAGATGTGTGTATAGTAAGACTTAACATCATTTGGATTTCGTCCATATTGAAGATATTCACATCATATAGGTTGATGTTTGATATTTCCTAAATATTATAGAAAATCTCTTCATTCTAAATAAAAAATAAAACTCTAATTTAAACATAGCTACGTGCTCTTTTGCTACTTGTCATTAGAACAGATCATAACAATAAAATAAATATGCTTACATAAATGCAAAGCGATGGAACTCCACTAGTATCGGAATTTTAAAAGAAGGCATGTAGAAAAAAGCCTTATAACTTTCGAACGAAAAGCCATAGCGACCTGCGGTTTTCAGCAATTGATAGAAGATTAAAGGGGAAACATTTTTATATAAAAAAACAAGGATTAAATAATGGTGGGTGTGGGTGTAAGAGGGTAGAAGACTCACACACAGCCGTACCATTTTTTAACATTTTTATGAAACAGGTTATTTTCTTTTCATACATAATTTACGCTTATACATAGCAGCAACATTTGATATTCATCGTCTATGGTCACATCCACTAGTACCTGAATTAATATCATCAATGTATAAACAATTATTATCAATAGTGACAACTCATCTATCGTCTGAAATAAAATTAAATAATTTAGATGTATCATTTTACAATATGTCTTATCCAATAATCTATGATAAACATAATATATATAAACAAGGTGATATAAAATTAGATCGTTCATCAAATATTCAACAAGATGTTTTTATTGATTATAAAAGTCAAATTTTATCTGGTGTCTGTTTAGGTACATCATTTATAAGACAAAACTGTATTATTGGTAAAAGTACACAAATTATAAATTTAATCCTATGGAACTATGTACAAATGAGTGAAAATCATATTGTTAAAAATTCTATCATATGCGATAATGTACTTCTTCCTAATAATGTACAAATAAATCAAGAATATATGCTTTGTAAAAGTATTATTAAGGGTACAAATGTTCATTTAAATCAACGTATGATTATTATCGCATCGAATTCCACAACATCAACAGCCTTAATAGATGATATTCAAATAGAGGATGATTTTTCAATTACAAAAAAAAATGTCAACAGTTCAAATTCTAAACAAAGATCTAATTCAACAAATTCATCAGAAAAATTCATTAGTTCACGAAATGAAGAAACAATAGTATCAAATAGTCATTTAGTTAGTATTAATGATTTTGATAAAGAGCTTATTTTTAATTCTGTACATGATGATCAAGTAATAAATTCTGGAGACATGAACGATGATGAAGATAATGACAGTAATGACGATAAAAGTCAATTAAATGCGTTTGATGCATGGGATGATCATCTAAAGCATAGAAAAATTACAAGTTCACCAGGCAGTTCAGATGATGATTTTCAAGAAGTTATTCATACATTAAAGCGTGCTTATAAGAAAAACCTTAAACCAAACAATATTATTGATGAAGTAAATATGTTAAAACCAACATATGATGTATCACCAACTGAATTTGATCAATTCATAATACGTGCTGTATTTTTACTATCGCTTGAAAAGAAACTAACTGATCCAAAAAATCAAATTAATGGGATGCAGTAAAATTAACTATCGATAAAATATCACAACCCATATTAAGAAATTATATGAAAATAACAAATAAACAAGCACAAATGTCATTATTAAATGAATTATATTTAATTTGTTTAGAATATATTCAACTAATTGATGAACAATGAATTCTTCAATGGTATAAAAATAAACAAGAAAAAATCGAAAATAATCAATGAATAATAAAACAAAAAGATAAATTTTGCTATGATAAATGTCAACAATTTGTTGAATAGTTAAAAAATACTGAAAATGACGTTGATGATCATGACGATAAAGAGTAGAATTTCTTTTACAAGGTTATTTATAATTTTTTTTTCAAAATAAATAGAGCAGCTTTGAAATATAAAATTTTCGTCATTAGAAACAGATTTTTTTCTCATTGTCTATAAAAATATATTCGTATTTTTATTGGGTCATACTCTTCAATTTCAATGCTTACTCTCAAATTACTTGTATCTGGAAATTAAAAACAAGACTTTTCTTCTCTATTATGATCAATATGGTTAGCATAAACGATTTGTGACAAAGCACTTAACCAAGTATTGAATGAAACAAAGATGGTTTGAGAACTTTCTAAGCCAGCATAGGATTCTTTTATTTCAAAACCCTTAATATTATTCTTTGTTAGCATCATGGCACATTTGATCATCTGTAATTGTATAACATCCTACAATCAGATTGTTCATTAATTAAAATAATGATGATATAGACGTAGAAAAAGTTCAAACATTTGTAAATTTTAAGAAATAATAAAGTCGTTTTTAAATTTATAGAAAACTAAAGATTTGTACAGATTGGAAAAAATCATTCGATTTCATTTTTGAGATTTGTTTTCGTTACTTGTGGTTTAAGAAGATGTTATCAATTAGGTACTGTACCTTAGAAAAAGTTATTTTAGTTCATGTTGCCTCAACGGATGAGAGAGTCTACAATGACCCTTTTGACGATATAAAATCCGACCAGATTTTCTATTCATTTTGGTGAATGGTTTGATTAATGCAATTTTCTAGAAATGTGTGTCTTGGATATTATCGATTCAGAAAAAAATGCGCCTATAAATGTGTATGAATTCTTTCAGAATATTGTCTTTTTACTTTTCGTCAATTATTTTTTAATGTACAATGTAGAGTAAATGCACTCGAATTTTAACCGTATTTAACATAGCCAATATATTATCTTTTATGGGATTATGTGAGGCTAATAATGACACTAAGAAAATTCACTTGACATTTACTTTTATTTTTTCCTGTGGAGCTGTCTATCCATCTACAAAAATTATGAAAAAATCCGAGATAGAAATTGTGATTCATACGTGAAATTTCAATGTAGAAAAAGAAAAAATTTAATATTTATTGAATGATTGTCCGCATGACGAACAAAATTTAGCAGATGAATTTCTTTTTGATGCACCACAATTAGAACAAAACTCTGCTAATGTATAAGAATAAGGTGGTGGTGCATAGTTATCTCATCGTTCATAAATCGATGCTGGATCAGGAGCAACTTGATTCAATTGATATAATACACTTCCTGGAGCAACAGAATGACCAATATCAATGAATAACTAAAACAAATCAAAAAAACTTATTAACAAAAATTTTCTAAAAGTTTATCCAAATAGACTATGAATGCAAGACTTATATATTCTTTTTCTCTATCCGATGTTTATCTGATACTCTACAAAACAATACTTAATATAATAATTAACACTGATGTTTTTGCATAAAACCACTTTGCGAACTTTCTTTTTCAATTTTTAGTAATATTCTTCAAAAAAAAACCTTTCGATATCCTATAAATGAATAATTCTTACATGATAAACAAGTTGATTATTATGACGATATCCATATCCTTGAAACCAAACTCTTGAAGTATCTAATGTCCAACTACGTGGTATTGGTAATCTTGATGAATATTTCATTGATTCTTCAGCAATTGCTTGTTGCATGTGTGCTACACGTCGATATTGTGTTATAAAACATCTAAAAGTGAAAAACACGCTTCCTATAGCAGTCAAAGCAATTCCTACACCAATTAATACAGGAAATCCATAATTATGAGAATTAATTCTTGCTATTCCTCCTGTCACACTCAAACCAAAAACAATTGCCAGAATAAGTAAAATTTTATTTGATGAAATTCTACGATTTATTTTATTAATTGATTCTCGAAATTAATTTTGATTAATCATACCATTTAGATGAATTGGATATGTTGAATCAAATTCAGCTTTTAAACATCCAGCTGAGATATCAATAATAAACATTTTATAAAATAGAAAAATAATCACAACTTACTTTGCACCATTGGTACATGAACTGAATTTGGATTTATCGGGATATCAATAATTTTTAAGTGTCTTTTAATTAAACGAAATCAAAATAAATTCATTAGGAAATAACGAACTTTAAAAAATGAAAATAATTCGTTAAAATGATTCACTCGTTCAAAAGGAAACTTTTTAAAAAGATATTTCTCTTATCAAAATAAAAGGAACGATTTTATTCAATCTACTCTTAAGTTTTCAGTCATAAATGACACGAAATCGATGACAAAATTTCAACTCTATTTCATATACTAGGATATAGTTGAAGCTAAAATCGTTTTAATGATGTTTTTAAACATGATTTTCCTTTGTTGAAGATCTAATAGCACGTGATATTTATGACATTATAATAATGATAGAATTGTTGATAATCGTATATCGAATAGTCGGATTTTCGCGTTAATTCTTCCGTAGATGCATCGTTGTCAATGAGAAACGCTAAATCGGACCAATGACATTTAGATATTGATAATTAGATTAGTAAGACTCTCAAAACATCGGTTCATAAGAAATCAGAGTCTGAATTTTCCTCCTGACACCTAAGACCGTGAGATTGTTGTAAAAACTAAAATCTGACATAACGATACGAGTGAGAGAGGATATATCTTTCAAAGAATTTAAACCAAAAGCCAATCATTCATTATATAAACATCGACAGTTTTCTTATCGTTTTGATGAAATGTTCATCATGTGCTGTTAGATCACCAAACAATTAAAACGAATTTAATTTCAGCGATTACATCAAGTAGAATTGCAATTTTCTCATCAATGTCTCGACATTTATGATTGAAACTTTGCAAATAGATTGATTCACAACTTTTTTTGTTTAAATTTTAAATGAAACGACCAAAGTTCAAAGCATTATTAAAAAAATTAGTGTGTTTCGCTCTATTTTGATCAGAGAGATATAATAAACGATTTAATCTAAAAACTTTCTCAAATAAAACAAAAATCAAATAGTAAAGGTGATATAGTAAAAGAAAAAACTGAATACAACTTACGTAGTAGAAGAAACGGATAAAAATCATCAGTTTATCTTGTTTTTTTTATAGATTCAATGACAATATACGTCATTTTACATTTATCTCGTGACGTCACAGAACAAAAACCAATAAAAGAACAAAAAGATTACGACTCTTCTTATTCAGAGAGACAAGTTTCTTTTTATCTTTAATAATCAAAAGATTCTAAATCGGTATCCATGAAAAACTTTGTTATCGTGCTTATCTGTCAGTAGAAACATAACAAATAANTGAATTAGTTTTTTGGACGGCACTAGTAAATAGCTATTTGATATACAAGGAAAACTACACGGCAAGCAAAGTGAACATTCTGCAGTTTCGTGAAAGTCTTGTATGATCTTTACTTCTTGGTATGCCATTCGAGAAGCTGAAACCTGGTCCGAGACAACAATCAACCAGCCATTTGAAGCGCAAACTAGCTGATCGCAAGCTCGAAGAAAAGAAAGAATCTGACCGCGATGTCCGAAGACACTGTGTTGGTTGTTACGAGAAAAACAGGGAACAACAATCAAGAGAAGTGTGTCATTCAACAACAAAGAGAATAAAAACTTTCTGTTCTGATTGTAACAAGTTTTTTTGTCTTGATTGTTTTAACGAGAAGCATTATGCTATGTAACAAATGATTTTGAAACTAGCGAAGGCAAAACAGATCGCACATTATGTGTAATCTTTCGCCTAAGAATAAAAGAAAAGAAAGCGTTTTTCTATTAAGTTTCTTGTTAAAATATAGTGGGTCCACCGGTGGACCCCATCGGGCTCAATGGGTTAAGTTTTCTGGTATCGATTCCAGAAGTAAATGCCCGATAATAATAAAAAACGTTCACAGTTATTTATTCAAGTTACAAACAACAAAGGCTCGAAAAAACGTTCAGAAGTGTGTATGCCTTTTCATACAGCCAGGATTTCAACAAACAAAATTTTAAGAAAACTGACATAATATTCTCAGAATCTAAGCAAAAACCAATATGGTTAAAATTTCATATTATTTTAGAAACATCGATAATCTTAAGGCAACAAAAAAAGAACATTCGCTTGCTAACACGATGGTCGATGATTTTCAAAATTTTCTTTCATATTATGAACTTTTTTTCCGAAAAATTTCTATATGTTGAAGAAAAGATTGATATTGTCTTGAATCTCTCTTCACTTTACCCTTGAAATCTATTTAGACATCAGATCATTCTATAAATCTATTAATGGATGATACGATATCATATGATGAGAACGACATTGGACAAATAAGTGAAACTGAATATTTATCCTTTTTACTTCATTATTGTTCCCAACGTTTTATTGATGAGCCTACACGATGTAGCTAAATAAACAGTATTCATTTCAAAGAACGATTTGCTGAAGCATTAAATTGAACGAATGGTTTCATAGCTAAATTATCTGGTAGTTATTTAACTGGTTTACTTGAACAATATTTTGTCAACATGGGCGATGATGATAAGGTGTAATTAAACCAAAATCTATGCATTATGTTATTTTCGGCTTATTTAAACATCATTTGATAATTTTTGATGCACAGCTCAAAATTATTCCTAATTTAAACTTATCATGCCACTCTTAAAAAGAAAATTGTAGACCAAAGATTCCATCAAATTCTGTGATCTCATGATTGACTTCTACGAGCTATAATAATTTCAGAGGCATCAAGCAATGTCACAAATTTGATTTATGATGTCTAATAGAAGGCTGAGTCTTCTATTACAACATAAATGAGTTCTGATCCTAAGCTAGAGAAGGGCGTGTATTTTTTGCTCGATACTGGTAAGTGCCTAAATTTTGTATATAATCTTTTAGTAAATACTCAGCTCTCTAGTTGAGGATTACGGACGAGTTTCGAACTTTACACCTCAGTATTAGAAAAACAATGAATTATGTTCGTTCAAGAGATTTTACATTTTAGTCGAACAGCTAATAATGAGATTGCATAACTTGATGAGATCTTTGAGAATCATGATGAAATAGGCCGAAAACAAAATTGTATTTGACTATTGATCGAGTTACTGTTTCAGTTTAACTTTGACTTAGTAGAAATAATTACTTTAGTATTGTTTATTATTGTCTAGACTTCAAAGTCGAAGTTGGTGACATGCATATTATGTTTGAACCGAACGAGGCATTCTTATCAGATGTTGATACAGAATCACCATTACAGATTGGATTTGTTGAAACGACTCCATATTTTGGTTATTACTATATTAAATATAATCCAAAAACGAAATTTCATTCAATATTAAGAGAACTGGATATCTTCAAAATGCGAAATAATAAACAATACATATCTAGTAAAAAATTAACTGATTTATTGCACAGTGAATTTGTTAAATATAATGAACGTGGTCCATGTAAGATGAAAATACATTGATCAGCCGTTTCAGTTATTTTTAATGATGGAACATCATTACAAGATTTTGTTTTTTCAGTGCCAATGTTAAAAATACCTTCTGATATACATGAACAATGGATTAATCGTCCAAAACAATGACCATCCAAACATGTTATTGAAATTATATCAAATTCAACTCGGATCTGACATCGGGAACTGTTGGGAAAATATTATTTTCATATACAATCGACATCGCTCTATTAAATACAATACTTCAGTTTTTCTTATTATTAATTTTATTCTCTACGCTTTGTTTCTTCAAACGGTACATCGATTGTACTTTTTATTCATACAGGTCTTAATGTGAAACATTATCGATAATGAATGTTGAAGTAGAGAATGAGATAGAACGATCTGTTAGACTGAGAATGTTTTTTGTTTAACGTGCTTGTCTTAATTAAACAATCTACTTTAACAGACATGCCAAGATCCCTTTACAATGATTTAAATAATTTCATTTTATTGCTCTGTTTAATTCTAAATGAATTTCACTCAAAGTGCTCTCTACATGTATATATTCCAGCACTCATTAACATAATCTACATAGTACGTGCATAGTGATATAGATTTGATAATTGTCTTTTAGATATATTATCATCGCATCATATCAAAACATTTTTATTTGCATATAAAGAAAAGAATAATCATATGCTACAACAAATAGAAAATCAAGCTAAATTATTTTTACATTTAATTGAACAATTATCAATTGTTTTAAAAACAAAAACAATGCAAAATTACTTTATACCGCAAATTGATATGTTATGATTGATACCTGAAGAAAAATATTTATATTTAGCTCAAAAATTAGATGAATTTTATATGAGACCGATTCAAACAATAAAACAAATGAAAACGAATTTTCAACAATTTACACTTTTATTCGTGTATGAAAATGTCTTTAATTGATGATTATTCAAAAGTCAAAGTTTATACATGGTATCTTAGATCATTACTTTGTTTAGCATTAAAACAACGTGATCATCTTCGATTACAAAGTTTGAAGTATATTGTAGAACTAGCAAATAAATATTTTCTATCTTCATCATCAACTATTGATAGAATATCTGATGTTGAAGACTTATTGTTTACATGGGTAAATCTAATTGTAACACCACGATTACGAGAAAATTTACCAGAATGTTTTGAACAAATACAAGAACAGCAGCAAAGTGGAGAATTTTACAATAAAAAATTTATTTGGTTAAGATTTAATTTATTGGAATCGATTGTATTCATATTTTATGAAATGGGATCATATTTTGATGAAGAAAGTGATGATGAAGATGAAGGAAATATTGATCCAGGTAACACTTGAACTAATTCAATGAAAAATATGAAATTTTTACTTGGATTTGATGTCAAAAGTATTTACTTTCACAATTTTACAATTTTGTTCTCATCCCAGTTTTAGCTGTAGTGACAAAGCATTCGAGAATTATTCATATTGAAAAGTTTGACTTATGTAAAAATTCGATTGTCTTACTCTTGTCTTCAGCGATGATATTTTGAAGAATCGGATCGTTCTTTCTTTGAACATTCAAAAGAAGTCTTAAATTACTGAAACTTTTGGAGTTGAAACACACCAATGTTTATCGATTATAATGTATTTCATAGACCAACGATAAAAAGTTTCTAGCAAAATGGACACTTGTTTTTAATATAGATGAGTGCGGCAATCAAGATTCATTGATAGACTTGAAGAGTTAAAAAAAATATCGATCAAAAAAGAACGACCATTGCAAATTTCTACAATAGTTTCAAAAATATTCAGATTTTGTCTTATGATTCAAATTTATCCCATAGATTTTATTGGCCGCATCGAGACTAATAAGCATATCGCCTGAATAATGTGTGCTCGTCAGTTTAAGATAGGTATATCATCCAATATTCGAACAGCTTCATATTTTTCTTTTACTTATCTATGCATCAATCAATAGATCTTGTCTAGATGATTCAAAATGTGAGTTTGAAGACTGTCCAGCAGAATTTTTATGCGAAAAAGTTTCTATTTAACCGTGCAGAGTCGACATTATTTTTTTTTCTTCATCAGCTCATAAAACTAATTCGTCAAATGATGCTTGCTTATTCTATACGTTGATAACGTTTTTCTTTATTAATCTTACTTTCTACCGTTTCCACAATACTTAAAAGATAAAATGCAGGGGTAATGCGTCTCGTGAACTCTAATATGTCTTACTTTTGAAATATTGAATGTGTAGTAACTGTCTATTCTCTTTTTAAAGATGACTACGTTGATATACCATTTTTAAAACTTGATGGCACATCAACAAATACAGATGATTACAATATTGTACCAGTGCAGAAAACACATCTTCAAGGTGTTTTAGAAATTTTGATTTCAATGGTGAGTGTACCATTAATAGATAGACCACCATGTTCCAATTGTGAATATCTTATTGATTGATTTCGTCTATCGGATTTAAAAATGAACTAATAGCAAGAGGTTTTCATGATGCTGCATTACAAAAATCTATTGTTATCTTTAAATTAAAGTCTGATTTATTTGCATTAGAAAAAAATGATCCTGCATATGTATATATAAGTACGGAAGAAAAAATATATATAGAAAAACGTCATGATCTATGCTGTGAACAAATGAAAAATGTATTCCATGCTGCATTACAATTATCAACAGATCAAAAATGGAAAATTAAAGCGAATATGAGTTATGTATATTATTTTCTATTTGGTTATTATGATGAAGCTATGGATGTAATGAAAACAGTCATAAAAGAGTATAACACTGACATGTAAGTGCTTACACTATTTTCAAACATGAAAAAGTTCCAGGAATGAATTCTGATGTATTGGTAAAATTATAGATAAGTACATATCAGAGATAGCTATAAGGCAAAGTGGAACAAAAGAGAATATTGGAGAAATTATTCTTGACTTCTACGATGAGGCCAAGAATTTTTTTTCTAATCTAGAACTTGAGTTTAATTGGTTAGATTCCATGAAATAAACTTCGTGTACAAGGATTGCATGTCGTGTGCTTTGATCTGTAAAATTCTTCTTCAGTTCAAATCCGAGTATTATATATTCTAAAAAAATAACTTGATCAAATTGACTATAACAATCATACGAATAAGTTGCGAATAGAAGTAAACAGTTTCTCTTGTAGGCTGTTTAAGACTTAGATTAAACTATTTTCTTGCAACCGCCTCAAATTTTTTAACAAATCTATCTTGGCATAAAGACAAACTCTAGATAAAAGATTGGAAAGTAACATAAGGAATCACAGCGGTTTAAAGGTTTTAGTAGTTGCGGTAGGCATGTTTATCTTCATAATCAAGCGGAAATCTTTTGAGTTTCAAGGAAAGTAGCGACATAAACTAAATTGAAAACTTATATGCATGATACAAATTATGCAGGAAGATTTGTGGCCGATTTCATATCTACACATGGATGAAAATGCTTGTGCGAAATGATTTGTGCTCATAATTTTCTTATTAAAACAAAAAATTTTAAAATTTTTCGTATCATGTTTGATTCGCCGTAAGGATTATGAGCTTGATGATCTGAATAATATGAGGTTACCTGCATCATTTTTCTTTGTTTCCAAAGTACATTTGCACAGTCAACTCTCTTCATCATGCTAAATAGCACAATTTTTTTTTATGAACAATCTCAATTTTATATTTCTGCAGAAATATTGTGATCATACTCAAGGATCAATAGGTGTAAGTAACTCGTATCTATAGAGTATTTTTCTTTCCAAGTACATGTTTCAACATATTCTTTTTCTCAACGGTTGTTCGAGGGTATGCTGGAGTGAGAATTATCAATTCATCTATCATCTGTGAGATCCGAGAGTAGGAAAAAATGAATAAAATGTTATTCTCTTGATTAAATTTTGAGAAATACATATTCTCTTCGATATTAAGAGATGAAGAACAATTTAGATCTCAGTAATTGATTGAAATTAAAAAAAAATAAACCATCTACATTAAAAACATTTGAACTAGTACGTCTAGTAGAATGTAGTATTTTTCATACTACATATATCTATCACTCTTTTAATGTTATTGGTTTGAATTATTTATTTATCTATCGAACTACTTTGACAAAACTACACAATATTTGTGGATGTTCTTTTTTTTGACATTATGTCGATATGCTATCAGGAGGGGCGAAAAGTACTTTGAAATGATGTGCATACAGATCACAAGAAGTTAATTAATATAAGACTATAAATTAGGGCTTTCAACAAGCAGCAGTCATAGTATAAAATAAAAATAATTAAAAAAAATGACAATATTGAGATTTACGAGATCGATCTTCGAAAATAACGAGTGGGTCAAAAACCTTTGGATAGAAAGGTTCCTGAAGTTTTTACAACAGAAATAAGAAGTTACCTAGAAACAGGGCTGGCCCGACCAGGGTTTGTTGGGATCGTGACAACCCCACAGATCTTCAAAATTTTACATTTTTCACAGGAAAACTCAAAATTTTTCTTGTGTTCTGTTACGGAAAACGATGTTACACCCCCTACAAAATCAACCACAATCCCCAAAATTTTGATACAACCCCCCAATGTTGGCTGACTCGAGCCAGCCCTGCTGAGAAAAATCACTGAAAAAAGATTCAATACGCATGTTACTATAGCTGCTTTAGCCCAAAATTTTCTTTCAGGCCATTCAAAGATCCGTTAATAGGGTCGAAGCTATGAGTCTTATAAAAATTCTGAATACAGATTAGGAAAGAATAAAACATTCTGATTCTTACCTAATGTTGTAAATTTTCTACTGATATTTTTGATTGGTTGAAAAGCTTCCGGCCCAGTCGTTAAATAGTGAGAAAATAAAATTTAACTAAAAGCACGTTTTTTTCCAGGCAGAAGAGAGACTACTATGCATTGTCAATAATCGAATCTGATGATGCCGCCAATAAATGTCCAATATTATCATATTTATTTAAGAAATTAAATAAAACTGACGTAGGTATTCCAATATTTGTTCTTGCTTATTACACACTTTTTCAATCATATCGTATGACTAATCAATGGGATAATAGTCAAGAATATATTGAACAGTTTCAACACATATGTACCAGTTTGAACATCGATTCTAGAGAAGATTATGACAAAACAATTGTTATATTACTTCTTGCGACAGCTTTCTTTTGTTTAGGGTTACTCGACAAAGCATTAAATTTAATAAAACAACTTCCAGAAACTGTAACTGACTTAGCTGATGAATTATTATCAATGTGCGGCATAAAGTGTTTTCTATGCCTAATAGACGTACAACATATTATGGATCATGGTTTAACACTTGAATTACCTTATGTACTATCAGAATGTGGTGATCCAAATGAAACAATCCATGTTAAACCACAGCAAATTAAACAAAAATTGTCCTTGCTTATTATTCGTCATGGGTATGATTGTTATAAGATGCGTTCATGGCGAATTCACGAACTAACAATTTTGGATGAATTAAAAAAATGAATGAGCCGCTTACCAGTGACAGGTGTAGTTGACAAACTAAGATTGAATGCGAAGAATAGTCGTCTTATCATCAATTCTTGATTGAAATTCAACGAACATTGTTAACTTATCAAATGGCATTGTATGAATAACAAAATCCAAATTAGACTGGACTTGCTCAATCAAATATTGACATGAGTCATTTTTGCTATTGAATTGATAATATTGCGTTATGAAAAAATATTTTAGAAATTCGAGATTGCAATTGATTTCCAGATATGTTCAATGGGTTGAGTTGTTGCTTTTGGTTTAAATTGCGATCTGGTTTTTTCCAAGTCGTTACGAAAGCCTTTACAAAATAATTACTACATAATTTTTCTTCCATTTTCTAAGTTTTTATTGCTTACCCACTATTATATTCTACTCTTAACTGCATGTTACTTTTTGGCTTATAAGTGGAATTGAAGTTTTAAATGAATTAGATACGGCTGTAAACAAAGAATCAATTTTGAAATTTGAAAAATCTTGATATGTATTCTGGCTTTTAGAAAACAGATTGCAAAATTAAATATGATACTCTAGCAAAGTCTATACAAATCAAACCATGCATTTTGAACGTTTCGATATCATTTTCTTAAAAGAAACCCAAGAACTCGTAGTCAACTTCATGTGAGTAGTTCTAGGATATCGTTCGCTATTTTCTATAATATACAAACATGATAAAAAAAAAGGTCTAAGTCTTTTTTTGAAAATCACTGAAGAATAATTCATTTTTTATTTTATTTCTTAATTTAAAATTGAAAATATGCAGCTTACGAATAATAAACATTCTTTCAATATGAGATCATTATCTGCATTCTGATAAGCATTGAACACACGCACAACAACAAAGAAGACATTCCATCGTTGCTGCACAGCATTGCATACATTCCAAGCAACATGAACTAAAGGAAGTACTGTTGTTATTCTCAATTGACGTTGCTTTTGTTTCATTTACATTTTCATCGACAGTCAGTTGTGGAGATTGATTAGATGTAAATGGATTGGTAAATGAATTAGTTGGTTGTACTGTTGCATAATTATACGGTGGTGGAGAACATAAATTTGATTTGTCTGAATTCATTTTTTTACTTTGATGATGACAAGAACAAATGTGCGTATATTTATGTTGCCTTGTTATGTTTATAATGATGTCATTTTTTCTTATCTTGACCAAAGTTTACTGAATGAAGAATATGACAAAAAAATCGAAATACCACGTATATTACTCATTTGTACTTTAAAGTAATACATAATACGAATCATTTGCACGAAACGATTGTTAATTTATTTTCTTTCTTTATAGTTTACTTACAAATCTAACAGATTCAATGCTCAATTCCTGTATAAAACAACTTGATGTTTCTTGTATCTCAAAGATAATTTATTCAATAAAGTAATTAAAATATAAAGAAATAAATGGTCACGTATTTCATCTGAAAAAAAAATCATGAAATTTTAACCATAAAAATTTTCTGATCCGATCCTTCTCCATCACAATATTCGAGGACCTTTTGTTGATATATCTCCAATTACACTACTAACTTGAGTTGCAGTACGACTTGTGCACAATTCACTTGTTGCTCACTTAGATCCTTCAAATGATAAAAATCTTTATGGAAAGCTGAAATATTATCAAGAGAGCAGCGTTCAGAATCATGACAATGTTGAAATACAAGAGTAACAATGTGCTATTTATGCATAGACTTAAAAATTATTTGATAATGTATTGTCAAGTACAGCTGCAAGTAAAGTTGTCATCGAACCAATGCTAACAAATAAATTTAGATCTCAGGCAGTATTCACTAAGAAAAATAAACGTGACTCGGCAAGTAAGATAGAGAATGGATACTTTATCGTTTATCAAGAACAAAATAATCATATCATAGCTGTTCTTATTGTTTCTCGATTCTGTCGCATTTTCTCATTATCTTTCATTTATGATTTTAAGAAAAAGAGCTGTTATATTATTTCATTGAGTATCGTCTACATCGACATGAGTACAACTTTAATTGCGGATTCTTTTATTGAAATTGTTAATTCATATATCCAAGAATGACTAATTTACATACAACACAAGTTTACATGAGAGAAAACGAGGTAAAGACAAAAGCATAGCATTGACAGCATTATCAACACAGTTATTCGTTCTTTGCTCCTTTGACACAGTATGTGTTGTGATTCGTTGAGGGTGTGGGTGTGGATGAAGCTAGTATCACCCACCCATACACCCAACCGACACCCACACCCTCTTTATTAACAATCATCAAATATGATTTTCAGCACTTATTAAAAGAACAAAACATATTCCTGTATTCTATAGACTGTGCTCTACAAGGTAGCAATGACGAGTTAATGAAATGGTAATTTCGAATTCTTAGTCAGTGAGGTGACGCGTTAAGCGTTTTGGCCGGTATATTAGTATGATCGACGTTTCGAAGAGTTAAATCTTCATTTTCAAGATATGTATGCAATTGTAAACTACAACCATTAAAGACTAAAATAGGTAATATATATAGAAAGTGAAGAAGGATGGCTGTGTGGGTGTAGCTATGACAGACAATCTCGTATGAATCTACGCAGCTACGTCAACACCCATCCACACACCCTCTACTGGCTTTTACAATATAACCAATTCAGGTTCGACTATTGCGACAAATTTGTATTTATCATAGAATAGTTTTCAAGAGGGAACTGTAATTCTTCATGCAACACAGTGGCGGGTCGACAGCATGGCAAGATATGGCAATTGCCGCACCAAAAACATTCGAAATAACCAGTAATTTGACAAAAAATTTATCAGTAAAACGATTTTTTTCAACAATTGCCATATCCAATATTTTGTTGCTGGCCTGCCACTGATTCATGTAAGAAATCTTCCTGGAGTATTCTCAAGAAACGCGCTAAATATTGTTCAGATCTTGCCTGAAGCTCATCTGCAGTGAACTTTTCAGACCAGAAGCTAGTCCATCGTCAGCGCTCCTTTGGGGCACCATTCACGGCTAGCCGCTCAGTTGCTTAAGTCTACTTTTTCAACGCATCATGCACTTTCATTTATAATCTAGCCGATACATTTTTGCTTTCCGTCAAAAAAATCCTTGAATTTATAACAGAACTAATAAGCACAGCCGGCAAACAAGCAAACTTTTATATCGTATCGCTCTCTCTTCACTTAAGCAAAAAATTATCTTTTTCTGTAAAAAAGCTTTACTGTATCTAAAAAACCTCTAGCTCAAAAGTTCCGAGAAACTGACCATGGATTCGAATTCTTCGACCCAAGCCTTTCCTCAAACTTGTCAAGGGGTTCGTAAATCGTGAGTAAACGTGCACGTGGTTAAACACGTGATTGCAAACATACGCTCAATCAAGCATATAAAATCATTTTATATCATATGGCACTTCCTTCAGTCAAGGGAATCGCAAAGTTTCATGAAAAGCTCGAAAATCCTTAAAATAAAAAAAATCGCTTTTGATTGATCCATTGTTTTCCCAGCGAAAGCTCAAACCAAAAATCCGACTTCAGATTCGGATTCTACGACCCTGATTATCTTTCATCAAACTTTATAAGTGACGACAATACATGTGGACACGTGACCGTAGACGTGACTGCAAACATACACACCACCAAACACATTTTATTTCATATGACCCTCCCTTCAGTCGAGGAAATCAAAATGAAAACTGTTAAAAAAAAGCTTGTTAGCAAAGCCTCTTTAGGTCTCCTTATGGAACCCACATGTTTTGTTTTGCTTCTTTATACTAATGCAAAATAATCTGAATGGAAAATCTTTAAAAAAATTATGCTTTCTTGTTTTTCGATTATCATTCTTTTTTTATTAGTCATATAGTAATTCACTCGGCATGTATTTATGGTTTTTAATTTCTCTGTTATGACTCATCATTATTAATCTAACCATTGATTTAATGGACGACTAAGTCTGTTACACATATTTTTTTAATCCTATAGTCAGTTTTAACGGTGTGTTATGTATCTAGATAAACTAAGAAAAACCGAAATTTATTACTCTCGAAAATTCGACCCTAATTAGTTCATAGGTTATGTTGATGATATGACAGTTGTTTTTCAAAGAATGTTCTAACAGCAAGTAAGTCTTGTTGTTAGTATGCATGTGTGGATATGAGTGTTCTGTTCAGATACAGGTATAACTCACACTCCCACATCCTCATGAATTGGTAAATAAACATGAGTTACATTCGTAGACTATAAGTAATTCATAAACGAATATTTCGGTTCTTCTCTTTTTAGTAAAGCATGTTGCAAGAAGAAACCCAACAGTGAGGTAAAGACAGACCTGTGTATGGGGAGTTTTCAATGGAATATTGTACAATCTTGGGCCGTACCAGACTCGTTGATGAAGGTTAAAAGATGAAGCGCATTCGATTTGAACACTGATGTATATAACAAAAAGATCTCTATCTTTAAACGAATATGAGTTGGATTGGTTCAGTATCTACTAATCTATTGTCCATACCCTCATTCGCCGACACACCTTTTAAAGATTTGCCTTATTGTTGATGTTCAATAATGCCTAGTTTTGTCTCAAACGGATGCTTGAATATTGCCATTAAAATTTGGATGCATGAATGACTCCTGTTCCACTTTGTAAGACATGCTCATTTTGTAGCATTCAAATTTTATCTGACAGCGAACTAAAAAAAGTGCCAGTGAATTGGTTTTTGCTTAAATAAAGCTGACTAGCGGCAATTCATGCACATATTTTCATTTTATGATCCATTTGTTGTAGGAAAAAATGTTCTAAATATTATAGATTCAGCAAAAATGCACTCAAAAGCCAAACAGATTCTCACTTTTTATCGATTGACTTGTAGTTCTGTCTACAAATATGATCAGCTTAATAATAAATGCATCAAACAGCAAAGACATAGATGACCACATACATCTTAGTTCAGATAGAAGCTCTTTCAGAAAACAGTAATTCATTTTCTTTGATTGATTAAAA